GCGATTGTGCTCTATATATAGCGTTGTGGATCGAGTCCTCCCTGGCATCCGAGTCCTCACCGAACTGATCTGGAGCGTAAGCTCGAGCTGCCTGAGCAGATGGTAGCTGCCCCAGAACTAATCGACAGAGGGAACATGCCAGGAGGACGCGCCGCGGAACGTCCCAAGGGACGCGCCAGGCGACGTGCCAGGGGACGTGCCATGGGCACGCACCGCGGGACGTGCCAAGGGGACGCGCTACGGAACGTGCCAATGGACGTGCCGAGGGACGTGCCAGGGGACGCGCCGCGCGACGTGCCAGGTGGACTCGCCACGGAACGCGCCAAGGAACGTGCCAAGGTGCATAGTTGAGTGTATCGATCTTGATGTACCGTGCCGACGGCTGTGCTGTGCTGGGCCGTGCTGAACTGCGATATGCCATGCCGCGATTGTGCTCTATATAGCATTGTGGATCGAGTCCTCCCTGGCATCCGAGTCCTCACCGAACTGATCTGTGTCGTAAGCTCGAGCTGCCTGAGTAGATGGTAGCTGCCCCAGAACTAATCGACAGAGGGAACATGCCAAGAGGACGCGCCGCGGAACGTCCCAAGGGACGCGCCAGGCGACGTGCCAAGGGACGTGCCATGGGCACGCACCGCGGGACGTGCCAAAGGGACGCGCTACGGAACGTGCCAATGGACGTGCACCGCGCGACGTGCCAGGGGGACTTGCCACGGGACGCTCCGCGGAACGTGCCAGGCAACATGCCAGGCTGCAATGCTACGGGTATCGATATTGATGTACCGTGCCGAGGGCTGTGCTGTGCCTGGGCGACCTGGACACGTGAAAACACGCGTTTCGCTCAAGACGTTGTCAGCACATCCTCATGCTAGACATCCGCCTGGGCAACCTGGACACGTGCAAACAAGCGTCTCGCTCGAGACATCCTCAACAAATGCTCATGCTAGACATCCGCCTGGGCGACCTGGACACGTGAAAACAAGCCTCTGGTTCGAGACATCCTCAACAAATCCTCATGCTAGACATCTGTCTGGGCCACCTGGAGGCGTGAAACCAAGCGTCTCGCTCGAGACATCCTCAAGACCTGGGCACGTGAAAACAAGCAATCCACTTGAGAGAGCCTCAGAATTCAGGTCCCCAGGAGAGAACAATCTATAACACAAAACAAGCGTTTCGCTCGAGACATCCTCAACAAATTCTGAAAAACAAGCGTTTCGCTCGAAACATCCTCAAATTTTAATTCGCCGGCCCTACGCGACCTCGTTATTTATCGCAAAAGAAATTCGCCGGCCCTACAGCCGTCAAAACCGACGGGAAACCAACTAAAAGAGAACCCTGGGCTCAGGCCCTTTCCGGGAAAAACGATGGCGAACCGAGTCCTGGCAAACCCGGGTCTTACGCTCCCCCGAATCATCTGCCGCCCAGGCCCTCCCTGGGCCCTGGGGCCGGCAGCGCGCACCCGGGGCGGAGCGCCGGTCCCGCGGAGCTGGTCTGTAGAGACCACCTCCAGGGTTCCGCACGGCGTTCCACCACTCGCAAAGGGACTCCTCGCAAATGGTCGAACCCGAGTCCTGGCAAACCCTGGTCTTACGCTCCCCCGACAGGGCCGCCCCACAGGACCCCGCCGGCCGGCCGGCCGGCGGCCGGCGGCGCAGGGCCGAGGCCACAAGAGACTGCAGGCCGGGGAGCCCCGGAGCGCGAGGCGGGGACTCCCGGAGAGCTCCTTGGAGAGCTGAGAGGGCTTCCCAGACAGGACCGCGTCGTAAAACAGTCGAGGCGGGAGGTTTTTGGCCAGTTTTGGCCTCGGGGGGCCATCGCCGGGCCTCGGGGCCGTCAGAAAGTGATTCAGGGTGAACATGATCGACCCACGAACCCGGAAAGGAATATAGAAACGTAACGCGTGGCAGCGTTTTCAAAGACACCTGATTGGGTGACGGGCACATGCAATGCTGAAGGTATCGATCTTGATGTACCCTGCCGAGGACTGTGCTGTGCTGCACCGTGCTGAATTGCGATGTGCCATGGCGCGGTTGTGCTCTATAGCGTCGTGGATCGAGTCCTCTTTTGCATCCGAGTCCTGACCGAACTGATCTGGATCTTAAGCTCGAGCTGCCTGAACACATAGAAGCTGCCCAAGAGCTAATTGACAACGGGACATGCCAGGAGGACGCGACGCGGAACGTCCCAAGGGATGGCGCCAGGCGGCGTGCCAGGGGACGTGCCATGGGGTCACACCGCGGGACGTGCCAAGGGGACGCGCTACGGAACGTGCCAATGGATGTGCCACGGGATGTGCCAGGGGACGCGCCACGCGACGTGCCAGGGGGACTCGCCAAGGGACGCCCCACGGAACGTGCCAAGGAACGTGCCAAGTTGCAATGCTGAGTGTATCGATCTTGATGTACCGTGCCGAAATCTGTGCTGTGCTGCGCCGTGCTGAATTGCGATGTGCCATGCCGCGATTGTGCTCTATAGCCTCGTGGATCGAGTCCTCCTTTGCATCCGAGTCCTGACCGAACTGATCTGGATCTTAAGCTCGAGCTGCCTGAACACATAGTAGCTGCCCCAGAGCTAATTGACAAGGGGACATGCCAGGAGGACGCGACGCGGAACGTCTCAAGGGACCCGCCAAGCGACGTGCCAAGGGACGTGCCATGGGGACGCACCGCGGGACGTGCCAAGGGGACGCGCTACGGAACGTGCTGGGGACAAGCGTTTCGCTCGAGACATCCTGCCAACATCCTCAGAATTCCTGCGCGCGGGACGCGGCACGCGCGAGACAACCTCGGAATTCTTGCGAGCGGGACGTGAAAACAACCATTTCGCCTGAGATATCCTCTGAATTCTGGACCCCCACGAGGCCCCCCACGAGGTCCCCGCTCGAGACATCCCCCAATTTTGCAAAACCAGCGTTTCGCTCGAAATTTCTTCAACAAATTATGAAAGACAAGCATTTCGCTCGAGACATTCTGCAAAAATTCAAGGATATCCTAGCAAAACAAACGAATTCGTCGAGACATCCTCGAAATTCATGCGCGCGGGACGCGGCACGCGCGAAACATCATCGGAATTCCTGCGCGAGGGGCGCTTTTCCGCGTCGCGGTCGGCTCTGCAAAACCAGCGTTTCGCTCGAGACATCCTCAACAAATTCTGAAAACAAGCGTTTCGCTCGAGACATCCCCAACTCTGCAAAACCAGCGTTTCGCTCGAGACATCCTCAACAAAATCTGAAAAACAAGCGTCTCGCTAGGGACATCCTCAAAAATAATTCCGCCGGCCCTACTCCCGCACGTAATTTATCGCAGAATAATTTCGCCGGCCCAAATCGCAGGGGGGCCGGGGGGTTAACCTACTAAAAGAGAACCCTGGGCCCGCGCCCTTTCCGGGAAAAACGGGTCCCGGGGAAAGGGTCGGGACTTCCAGGGACGCCGTCCAGAAAAAATCAGGACGATGCAAGTCTGGGTTCAGATTACCCATCGGTCGGAAGAAGTAGGTAGAAACATGAAGTAGGAAGGCGTTGAAAATAGATTGGGTTTCCGCCCCGCCTCCTGAAGAGGAGGGAAGAGGAAAAAACACTCGACTCTTGAAGTAGCAAGGCGCTGAAAGTAGATTGGAATATGGGAATCCAAAAATACCTACATTCAACGACCGATGGGTACGAAGCCGGAGCCGCAGGGTAACCCCGGAGATCGCTCCGGCGGCGGTCCAGGCTCCCCGGCGCAGGCTGCTTGAACTTGTCCCGAAGGGCCTTTTCTAAGCGTTTCCCAATACGCGTGCCCGGAAGCTCTCCAGAAGGACCTTTGGAAGCTCTCTCCAGGTCCTTCCAGAGTGCTTCGCCAGGCCTTTCCACGCCCCTTGGGCGCCCTGCAATCCAGGTGTTGGACTGCACAAGTTTACCCATATCCACCGCCTGGAAACCGACGTCCTGGTTCCCCAGCGGGCGGCGGATATGGACATATTTTGGCCCCCGGGGGCCCGAATAGATATGTATATATATATATACACATATATACATATATCCATATCCATATCCATATCCATATCCATATCCATATCCATATCCATATCCATATCCACCGCGTGCCCAGGTCCCCGAAAATTGATCGGTCCTCCATGCGGTGGTCATGTATAAATTCCCGCCTCGGAACTAGACGCCATCTTCATGCGCTATTTTTCGAGCCGGGTCGATCTGTGAGGGCTCCGGGGCCCGAACTGAAAGCGAAAACGCAGGGCTTGAGTAGGGGATCGACCACAGAATCGATTCACCCCAAACTTGACTTTCGCGTCGAACTTACGAGAGAAACACGTGGAATGCTCGTAGAGATACGGATCTTTCTGCGCATGTTCGTAGGACCGGCGAACAAAACGATTATCTCGGGGCAAATCCGTTTTGCAGTCGATCCCCCCCCTCGACAAAAGGCGAGCACGCCCAGCTCGAAAAAATTGCAGCTCCAGGACATCAGGAGACCCAGACCCCCGACGTCATGATTATTTCAGAATGTCGACCACAAATAAGGTCTCGACCCCTTCCCCGTGAACCGTTTCTCCTCCTGAGTCGTTTCTTGACGTGCCGAGGCCCAGTGAGGGCCCCCTGAGGCCGAAAATAAGGAAAAGCCTCCCGTCGTGATTTGTTCACAACTTGCAGTTCGTGTTGTTGCTGCTGCCGATGACGCTGCTGCGGATCCGTGCCTACTCGGAGCAGGAGGAGGAGAAGGAGGAGGAGGATGAGGAGAAGGACGAGGAGGAGGAGGAAGAGATTGAGGAGGAGGAGGAAGAGGAAGAGGAGGAGGAGGAGGAGATGGAGGAGGAGGAGGAGGAGGAGGAGGGAGGAGGAGGCAGAGGAGGAGGAGGCCAGGAGGAGGAGGAGGAGGAGGAGATGGAGGAGGAGGAAGAGGAGGAGGAGGAGGAGGAGGAAAGGAGGAGGAGGAAGAGGAGAAGGAGGGGGAAAAGCAGGAGGAGGAGGAGGAGGAGGAGGGGGAGGCGGAGGCCGAGGCAAAGGCCGGCAGGCGAGCCCACGCGGCGCCGCCGGGCGCTGGGTCCTGCCGCGCGGGCTCGGGGGAGCGCCGCAGGCCCTGGCCTCTCCAGAGAGGGCCCCCGGCTGCCCCGAGGCGCGGCGCGCAGCCCGTGGCGTGCTGGCGCGGGGCTCAGCACCCAGAGGTCGAACGCATTGAAGAAATCGAGGCGGAAGTTTTTTCACTTTTCGGCCTCCAGGGGCCCTCGCCGGGCCCCGGGAGCGTCGAAAAGCGACCCTGGATGAAAAACCGGTCCTGGGGAATGGGTCGAGACTTCGGGGGACCGCGCATTGAAACATGATGGACCCACGAACCCGGAAAGGGATATAGACATGTGGAGCATGGACACGTTTTCATGATACCCAACTGGGCAACACCTCACGAAACATCCCACGAGACACCTCACGAAACAGCCCACGAGACACCTCACGAAACATTCCACGAGACACCTCACGAAACATTTCACGAGACACCCCGCGAAACATTCCACGAGACACCCCACGAAACATTCCACGACGACAGGCAACCACTCAACCAAGGCGGTGTGGTCGTGCTGGGGAGTGGTCGTGCTGGGGTGTGGTCGTGCTGGGGGGTGGTCGTGCTGGGGTGTGGTCGTGCTGGGGCGTGGTCGTGCTGGGGCGTGGTCGTGCTGGGGTGTGGTCGTGCTGTGGTGAGGTCGTGCTGGGGCGTGGTCGTGCTGGGGCGTGGTCGTGCTGGGGCGTGGTCGTGCTGGGGCGTGGTCGTGCTGGGGTGGGGTCGTGCTGTGGTAAGGTCGTGCTGGGGTGTGGTCGTGCTGGGGTGTGGTCTTGCTGGGGTGGGGTCGTGCTGGGGTGTGGTCATGCTGGGGTGGGGTCGTGCTGGGGTGTGGTCGTGCTGGGGTGTGGTCGTGCTAGGGTGGGGTCGTGCTGGGGTGGGGTCGTGCTGGGGAGTGGTCGTGCTGGGGTGTGGTCGTGCTGGGGTGTGGTCATGCTGGGGCGTGGTCGTGCTGGGGTGGGGTCGTGCTGGGGTGGGGTCGTGCTGGGGTGGGTTCGTGCTGGGGTGCTCCGCACCCTGTGATTTATCGATCGGGTCGTGCTGGGGTGTGGTCGTGCTGGGGTGTGGTCGTGCTGGGGTGTGGTCGTGCTGGGGTGTGGTCGTGCTGGGGTGTGGTCGTGCTGGGGCGTGGTCGTGCTGGGCGTGGTCGTGCTGGGGTGTGGTCGTGCGTGCTGAGGTGTCCCGCACCCTGTGATTTATCGATCGGGATTTCAAAAACAAGCGTTTCGCCTGAGACATCCTCAAATTTTAATCCGCCGGCCTCCTTCGACCTCGATATTTATCAGGGAAAAAATCCGCCGGCCTCCTTCAAGTTGGCACCGGGGGACAGGTTTACCAACTAAAAGAGAACCCTGGGCCTGAGCCCTTTCCGGGAAAAATCACGACATCGGATCTCTGGGCACGCAGACTGAGAACGCAGTCCTGGCGCGGTTCGAATAATTCAGGGGAACGACCACAAGATTGATGCACCCCGAACTTGACTTTCTCGTCGAACCTACGAACCACACTACGTAGAATGCTCGTAGATCTACGATGTACGTGGCTCAACGCACAACTCTTACCATGTCCAACTGGTCACCTGCCAGACCACCCCAACCCAACCCGAAGACCCGAATTCCGGGGTGGGGGGGGTACGAGCTTCATATGTGTTTTTCCCATGCTCCCCGTCCCCACCACCCCCCACACTGGAAATGGAAGGCAAATCGGGGCCTTCGGGTTGGGTTGGGGTGGTTTGGGTGGTGGGCGGAGATCCACACGCCCCACGCACCGTCCCGGACATCCGGCTCCTCCGAGTTTTTAGAGGCGTGGGCACTGGAGGTCTGGACCACTTCCCCAATAGAGGAAAACTAACTATGCACATACACCGATTCTGGCCAGGCCCATCCTGAGCCCAGGATCGGTGCATACTCCCTTCTACCTTGGCGAGGAAGGCAGATGCACCGATCCTGGGTCAAGGATGAGCCTTGCCAGGATCGGTGCATGTGCATAGTTCTCTTCGCCCGACCCAAGGCTGGCTGTTCTTCCTGAATCGACTCAGGACGAAAAGCCGGCCCCCGGACCCGTAGAAAAACGATCGGTTTTCGGCGGTCCCGGAGCCCGGCGGGGCCGAAAACGGCCCAAAACCGGCGGTGCCACTCTTGTCGGAGTGTCGGACGTCTGGGATCTCGACGTTTTTTATCCTTTTCGGCCTCTAGGAGTTCGCTTTTGGGCCCCGGGGCCCGGGGCCCTCAAAAGCTCGAGTCGGGGATCGACCACAGAATTGATGTACCCCGAACTTGATTTTCGCATCGAACTCCCGAGAGAAAGACGTAGAGTGTTCGTCGAGATCTGGATACTTCTGCGTACTTTCGTAGACTCGGCGAAGAAATCGATCTTGAGGCAAGTCAATGTTGCAGTCGATCGCCAACGCAACCTGTGGCGGACGTTTCTCCTCCGTTTGGGCGAACCTATCGCTCGATTCGGGGATCGACTACAAGATTAAGGTGTCCCAGAATTGCTTCTCTCGTCGAGTACACGTCGATACGTATAGATGCTCGTTGCACTACGAACACCCTACGCATTTTTGCTCGTAGATTCAGGTCGGGCATGTCCCCCTACAGGCGGATTTTGGACGAAAGATCAAAAATACTCAGAAAATACCCGCAAATGCTCAAAAACAGCTAAAAAATCGTCCCTCGACGATTTTCTCCCCCATCTTTGAATGTTCCTCCTGTTTACAGGGACGGGCCCGACTGAATCGCAGATCCGACGAGAAACTCGAGTTTGGGGCACGTCCATGTTGTAGCCGATCGCCCGCTCGACCCCTGGCGGCCCGCGCTGGCGGAGGCCGGGGGGGGGGGGGGGCGAGAACGAGGACGTGAGGAGCGTCGCCGTCGTCCGCTTGCGGTCCGCCCCAGTGGGCGACCACGGCGGGCGGAAGCGACGGGCGGTATGGTCGTTCGGTTCTGTCGAGCTGGGCGGCTCTGAATTGCGTCAGAGGCGCCGCGCGCCGTCGCGCGAGGGAGGGCGGGCGGACTGACGCGGGCGCGGCGGCCCAGAGCGAGGGCACCCCTGGGCGTTCTCTTGGCTCTGGCTGGCGGAGCGTCTCGTGCTCCTGGACTCCCAGACCCCCTGGGGTACAATCAACCCGTGCAATAAGGATGCGCGATAAGGATGCAAGGGCCTTGGAGGCCCATTTCGAAGCTTCTCGAGCGGGCCGCGGCCAACGAAAGCGGCCAAGGCTGGGCCGAGGAGGCGAGGATGCAAGGGTACGTACCCTTGGGAAGGGTGCCCATCCTTACTCTGCGGGTTGACTGTAATGAAAAATCATGACGGGAGGTTTTCTGCTATTTTCGGCCCCTGCGGGCCCTCACCGGCCCCCGGGACCGTCAAAAAACGACTCAGGAAGATCAGCCTGGCGAAAGACCCAACTATATGCAGTTGTGAGTACCGTAATTGTGAATATCTTCTTCGGTGGAGCTCCGTATGGGGCCACGAAACGCTGTACTGGGTGGGCGAAACGCAAGGAGCAATGGCTGTACTGGGTGGGGGTGGTGGCGGACGCATGCGGGCGGTGCCACTGGGACCTTCGGTGGAGCTCCCTATGGGGCCACGAAACGCTGTACTGGGTGGGTGAAACGCAGTGAGCAAGGGCTGTGCTGGGTGGTGGCGGACGCATGCGGGCGGTGCCACTGGTACCTTCGGTGGGGCCCCCTATGGGGCCACGAAGCGCTGTACTGGGTGGGTGAAACGCAGGGAGCAAGGACTCTGCTGGGTGGTGGCGGACGCATGCGGGCGGTGCCACTGGGACCTTCGGTGGAGCTCCCTATGGGGCCACGAAACGCTGTACTGGGTGGGTGAAACGCAGGGAGCAATGGCTGTACTGGGTTGGGTGGGGATGGTGGCGGACGCATGCGGGCGGTGCCACTGGGACCTTCGGTGGAGCTCCCTATGGGGCCACGAAACGCTGTACTGGGTGGGTGAAACGCAGGGAGCAAGGGCTGTGCTGGGTGGTGGCGGACGCATGCGGGCGGTGCCACTGTGACCTTCGGTGGAGCTCCCTATGGGCCACGAAACGCTGTACTGGGTGGGTGAAACACAGGGAGCAAGGGCTGTGCTGGGTGGTGGCGGACGCATGCGGGCGGTACCACTGGGACATTCGGTGGAGCCCACCATGGGGCCACGAAACGCTGTACTGGGTGGGTGAAACGCAAGGAGCAAGGGCTCTGCTGGGTGGTGGCGGACGCATGCGGGCGGTCCCACTGGGGGCTTCGGTGGAGCTGTAAAGGGGCCCAGGGACACATCTAGAGGCCTCTGAGATGGGGTCGGAGCAGACGGGGTCGGAGGATCGCGCCGCATCGCCAATACGTCGACGATGCGTCGGCGATGCATCGGCGATGCACCAGCGATGCACCGGCGACGTGGGCGATGCATCGGCGACGTCGACGTGAAGCACATCGGGCTCCACATCGAGCCGCCTCGGCGATGCATCGGCGATGCGGAGCAATCCTCCGAACCCATCTGCTCTGACCCCATCTAGGAGGCCTGGAACACGAATCCCAGGATGCCCCATAGTTTCTCCCGCATCTTCGGGGTCGCTTGGTCGCCCCCGCCCCATCTTTTCCCATACATCTTTTCCTGGGAGTCGGCGATGAAATTCATGTCTGTGTGCTCGCTCCCTTCTCCCGAGACGGGCGGGGGAGCACCGGGGCGCGGGCGGGGCAGCGGGGGCAGGCACTGGGCGGGGCAGCAGGGCGGCGGAGAGGGGGGGCGGGGAGAGGGGCCGCTCCAGAGGTGGGCGGGCGGGGGCGGCCGAGGCCGCGCCCAGGGAGGCGGGAGCCGTTGTTGTTGCCGTTCGGGCGGCAGCAAAGCACTCTGAGGCACGGGGCCTGTCCTCGTAATAAGTAGGGGGCCAGATGCGAACCTTACCCCTACCCCCCACGATTTCTGAGGGGGGGGGGGGTCACTTCGCTCGG